CCCATGCCTGCCAAACTCAATACATGCATAATATCATGATATATCTATATGCAAGTTAGAAGCCGTGGAGTAAAGTCACGTGCCATGTGCAAATGCTGTCCAAAGCCGGCAACATTGCTAATGTTGTTCTGTTTAGGTGCGCGCGAAGGTCCACGCGATCCTATGGCCATAGATGAAAATGCCCAGACACACAACGACACGACTTCACACAGCATCGAATACCTTAACAGCGGTTCTACTAGTACATAAGCTGCTTCAATTGAGAAATCTAGGAAACGCTGTGTGGACGCCGTCGAGAAATGTGCCACGCGAAAGGATACGATGTGCCAAAGACATGGTGCACCATGCAAAGCGTGCCGCGCTGGAGACGACTTTTGCCTACGTGGAACGCCTTCAGTCAAGCACCCTGTGGCCGACCTGGCAGACAAATTCTGGCATTATCGCATCATTCTCAATCCAAATCCAAGCAATGTAAGTCTGAGGCACGCATCGCTTTGAAACGTGACGGACAGAAAGTTTGATATCAAAGCCAGGGCACATAGCAGTCCACAAGCAGAACCAGGTCGCACTGCTGCGCAGGCAGCATCTGAGCCAGGTATTGATCGAGTGCGTGGAGCCTTGTGTCGCGGACAGTGGTGTTGCAAGTATCTCTCCTGCAACATGGACTGAAAACCCAGCTGCTGTTCGCGCCCCAAAGCACCACTTTGATTGAGCAGATGCCTACCGGAAGAGCGGGACAGCCACATTTGACATCTGACAGCGCAGCAGGAAAGTCTTGGTCCAAAGACCCCCAGTTGCAAGTTGGTCTTCCAAAACTGTCTTGAAGCCTCAAAAGCATCACAGGAATACCCTCTCGAACTCAGCGGATGTCAGAATCAAGAACCTGTGTGTGGGGTGCTTATAGTCTGTTGCTGTGAGCTGTGACAAGCTGATCTCGGTCACTGGCTTTCGTGGATTGCTGGCTCAGTGGTGCAGTGTAGCCGCTCAATCCTGCCATTGAAGTCTGAATCCTGGACGTTACTCAACCATAAGACCCAGTCCAGCCATGAGGCCGGATGGTGAGGTTCCCCCAACTGGCACCCAGGCCGTAGTCCAGAAGTGTCACCTCCAGAGGGGCCAGCAAGAGCAGGCCTTGGGATTAACAGCGTTCCTGATGTAGATTCCCCATTTAGTTGAGAAATGCGGACAGTCTGCACTGCCGAGTAGCTAGGAAAGTAGGGGTCGCAAACAGTTTGAGGACTCTTTGGGCCATGCTCCGTGGCCTGAACTTGAATCCCGCTAAGACTCCAGGAGCTCTATCCCGTTGAGAGGACAAACTTCAATTTCAGAACTTGTGGCCATTCCGCAATGGACGACTGCCCACATCTAACATGGCACGGCTAGGTCGACAGATACTTCCCTGCAGTTTCTTGCAGGCAAAAGATTAAGCTGCGCTAGGCAATCCCTTGCAGCTTCAGTGACACGGGAAAGTAACCTGCACAAGCAAGACCCCTTTGCGCTCGGGCTGCACAGCTGAGCCGGTTGACCTGGCCAACCGTCGCAGATGTGGATGCGAAGAACGTGGACCTCTTCGCAGAAGGAGCTTCAAGACAATCCACACTCAGCTACTGTAGCTGCCATTAGGGACCCCCCTAATTCAGGGGTCCGAGCCGTAATTAACTTCAGTCTTGGCCCTCTAAACGTAGTCTTTAGGGCAGATTTCAGATTTTGGAATTCTGGGGAACCCGTATCGTATATTGAGGGAATGTACTATTAGGGGTTAGTCTTTACGGGGCCCTTCGGGAGCTCCATCTTCGTTCGGAAAAGGGCAAAGCCTGAAGCCATACAACATCCTTAAAACCCTATTCCTCCTTCAAACATCTTGAAGCCCTCAGTCCCTAAAACCCCAGGCCACGGCCAACTCCTGGGGTCCCAATGCCTGAAAAACCCTTTCCACATTGATGCCCAGCTGCATCCCCACGTCCATCTGACTGGCAAAGGTCGTGACGTGCACGGCCGCCGTGCCAGCTGGACCTGACTTCACAAGTCTTCCAGCCGGGACTTGCACCCCGCAAGTGTTCCTGCAAGTCCCACCCATGCGGCCCTGCTCAGCACCCGACAGGACGGCAAAGCCCCCTGACCTGAACCATGGGGATGTTTAGATCGTTCCAGCGCCATGGCCAGTGATCCCTCCAACAGTTTGCTACACCACTGCTTTGCGTGCACCTCATGTAGGTTACACTTCCTTTGCCATAGTAGCAGCACTGACTGCTTTTCCAATCCTTGTGGGCACCTTGCAACATCACGCCACCAACGGTGAGTCTGCAAAATCATGCTGGATTTGGCTACTGCACAGGACGCATCTTCATGCTGAAGAAGAAGTGATGCTCATCTTTCCTAACCAATTTGCCTATAGAAGATGACAGGATCCCTCGTTGGAAATTCCCAACCTGCCTATCGCATGTGGCGCACGAATTTATAGTTGCCTCCAGCATGTCGAAGAAGCAGAAAGGTGCCATGGAGGGCCAGCAGCGCTCTCATTCCAAGTAGGTTGCCAACACTTATCTGTTGGCTTGATAGTGTATGGGCGGGAAATGCTCAAGTTGCTGTGCCTCACCACGCGGCTTTGTGATAGCCATCTTGCAATGGTGGCCAAAGTTTGCACCAGTCTATGAGTTGGTTGAGCAATTACTTTGTTCATGGATGCTGGCTTGTGTTTTCATTTTGCTGAAAGATGCTTGCGCCGGCAAATTCCATCAGAATCTACATCAAAACTTGTGCAAGCATCCAGGTACCGTCGCTGCACGACAAGGTTCGCCTGTTTCTGACTCTTCACCCGAGCGGGCTTCGAGCAGACCTTCCCTGATGAAAGAACAGTTGCGATTCGGTCTACCAGGGGTTCATGGGAGAAGTGCTGCCGTCAAGCATTGGACAGGGATAGCCATGGCAGAATCACGGGAAGCACAGGGAAAATAATACCCAGGTACCCTTAGACTGCCACAAGGCCGTTGCATGCATCTGCAAGGCTTCTGACTGCTAGTGAGGAGATTGCCTCCATGTTGGAGTCTACAATGATTCGGCAAGGGTTGCTTCTGGCGATGTTGGAGAGAAACCTGTGGAACTTCACTAGGTCTAGTTGGTCCTGACTGCGCTGAACGGCGATGGATAGCACGTAGCTGTTGCAGGCGAACATGACATCCACCCACTTGGTCCTTTCGTACCCAACCTTCCCAACATGTCCATGCTCCCAAGCATGCAAGACAGACTCTCTAGAGACTCTAGCTCTGCTGACCGGCTTAACTTTCAAGGGGTGGAGCACGGCTGGACGTCTGAATCTGACAAAGCAAGGAGCCTGAACTACCCCTCCTTGGCATCGGGCAAAGTTGGATTGAAACCTGCCTGGCTTACGGAGCTTCGCAGGTTTCACAACACCTGATTCTAATTTGCTGGATCGCTATCGCTTTCGCAAGACTCCATGATCCCCGACTCAATGATGTTGGACCCCTGCCAATTTGCAAGCTATACCACTAAAAGACAGACCGCATGTCCATCAAAGACATATCTATTCAAACCATAGTTTTGGTGGTTGCTCCAGGTTCCTATGGTAGATGGCTGCAGTCTTTCACAAGGCTCCCAATTGCTAGCACAAGGGTGCTTTTCAGACCATAGCGATCGGCACTTAAAATGAAAGAGTTGGCATGGTCGTCTCGGCGGAAATTTCAGCTCATTCGCAACTCTGGTGTAGGTCTCTTGAGGAACCCAATCTGAAGAGATTCATTGCCAGAGACGATTTCCGTTTTACAGAAAAATTACAAATCCTCAGAGATGTGCGAAGCTGTATCCGCCAGCACCCTGTGAAAAATGGGAGAGGGACATGTCGTGGATACATTAGTCACGATGGGTTGCGGTGGCAAGGCCACAGCGCAGCATCTCCGGGTGGCAGCACGCCAGCGTGCCGCCGAAAATTGGCACTCTCTGCCAAAGCGCTATGTGAGAAACCGCAGCAGTGGGTGAGTCCATGATGCCTTTACTAAGGTTTCTGGCTCCGAATCAAGCGCAATGGGCAATACTCCAAGCTGCACCCAGAGGTCTGCGAAGCAACCTGTACAAGTGAAACAGATGCCAAGGCAGGCCACCTGACAGCCAAAGCATCATTGGGCCAACTATGGATTTTTAGGGTTTAGGGTTTAGGGCTTAGGGTGACCCCAAAGCACTATAGTCTTTATTATGGGGGTCCAAAAAATAAAAAGATACCCCTAACCTACTTTGGAGGGTTTCCCTGAAAAGGGTCCTCTGTCGGCAGGCGGGAAGTCGAGATCCAACATCGAATCCGAATATGCTATAGTAGTTTCCATGTGCTTTTGCATTATCCCCAAATAACCCCAATACACTGAAGTAGCTTGCATATTCTTTTCCCTTATCCGCATATAACCCCAATACTCTATAGTAGTTCCCATTTTCCCAGACAAAGAGCCCGAGGTGTGATGTGAGCTGGGCTGCTTCACTAAAAAATGGAATCATATATGTATATATATATATCTTAATATATATTCTTTTTTAGCGGTGTTATACGCGGATAATGGAAAAGGTAATGAAAACTACGATAATTGGTTATATAGTTTAGGGTAATGTAGACCCCTGATTAATAAACCCCCTCCCCTTAATAGGGATCCTAGTATTAAGGCCCTTAAGAGGAAGGGGTTAATTAGCTTCTGTTTAGCCTTTTTTATGAAGCACAAGGTGTTTGAGAATTCAACGTGCAGCACCGAATCATCCAAACATCGTCCTCCTGCAAAACAAGCCCCTACCACAGCAGTACTTGTTCTCCAGCTAGTCCCAACAAGAAACCAAGGGCTCCTTGCATACCACATTCAGCTCCCGTAAGACTGCCACTACAGCAGGAAAGACCTCAGGTTCTTGGTTTCTGATTCTCTCCTCGAATTTCAGAAGTCCCAACATACACCGACACAACATCCAGAAGCACCTCCAACACCAAAAGCAGGAAACATCAATCTGAGCTTGCCCTACCCAAAGGGGCCATGCAGGTAAGAAACATATAGTTAGCCCCTTTAGGCCCCAACTACATATTGCTTACCTACAGCGACCCTTGAACCCCGTACATCCCCTCACCAATTCTGGGTTGCTGTTACGGAACTTAAATTAAGTTACCATAATGGTTACATATATATCTATATATAGTTATTTAATGTGGTTGCCCCACTATTGCAACTTAATTCAAATTCCTTAACAGCAACCCTCAATTTCAATGGCTCAACTGTCTGAGGCTGAGACAACTTTAGAATCAGACGTTGTTGGGACCCTCGGACACTGATCTGTTGGAAAAGGCCTGGAAGGAAGGGAGGACAGGCTGTTTTAGGGTTTAGGGTTCAATCAACTTCGGGGTACAGTACATTACCTCAATAATGGAGAATCAAATGGGAAAACAACCTGGAAACTCGGGGTATATATAGAGGCTACCTTTGGTTCTATAGGAATGAAGGAATGGAAAAGAGATAGGAAACTACGATAATGGGTTGGTTGTATAGGGACTACTATAAGGATCCATTCCTTCCTTCCTAGCTATCCAAACCGTAAGATGATGGAGTTCTAGGGCTGAAGCTTTTTGATACTAGTGTTTGGAGTCCCGGCAGTTCTTGCGCCACCTAGCATACAAAAGAACAAAACCACTCCAGATGTAAACAATTTTGGGGAACAAAGCCGTCTTGAGATTCCAGAATACATATTCAGATTAATTACAAAACAAAGATGGGGTCCCTGTTCGGGACTCAATAGGGCATATGGTATGTGGAAAGACTCCCATGTCTTAGTGCCATCGAAATACACGGGTGGTGCAGCACATAGCACTTCAATCTCTGCCTTTCTCGAAGCAAGAAAGAAGCCCAAAATGAAGCAAAGTTGCAGAGAGCTGCCGCAGGGGCATAGACCAGTAGTCCATCCTGTGAGCATGCACCAGGCGTCCTACAGCCCCTTTTTTGGAATGGCCACTCACTAGTATGTCAGAGAAGCTTTAAAAGCTTTTGTCGGTATGACTGTAGAACTACCCTTACCACTGCATGATTTTCTAGCTCAGCTCTTGACATTGGGACAACGATGCTACTAATGTTCACTACACTTCGCAGTCTGAAGAGGGTCTTCAAATCGCTTTTGCATAACCTGACTTCACTTGCCTTCGCGTTGACTTGGCAAACTCTCCCAAACAGAAGCGCAGAAACTTGCGGCTTGAGTAACAAGATACACACCGTGCCGAAGTTGCGATTTCCCCGGCAATGCGGTCCTGAACCTGTTCTCTGCATCCTTTGTGGCAGTTCCCTTCTCCACCGCCTGCGCGCAATCCTGGTACGGCAGGGAGGACCGAGTGTGCCATCCAAAAAAACTGCATGTCAATGTCTTCCCGCTCATATTCGACCCTGTCGCCTCCTGACAACAAGCATGCCAGATTACGCTGCTTTGCAGCAAGACATTCGTATTCAAGCTACAGGCTAGCATTGCAAGCCCCATTCCGTTGAAACAGGCCCTAGAACGCTTTCTTAGCTCTGCTACACAACCTTTGGCCAAAATCTGAAGCCCTGAGCCTTCATTCCTCAACTATTGACCGCCAATATCATAAACCCTGAATCCCCCACACCTCCTCCCCTGAAATCGCAAAATCTAAGCCCTCCACCCTGAGCCCCAGACAAATACGGTAATATACGGTAATATACTGTAAGACACTATATATCGTGTACACTTCAGCATACTAGTATTTAGGTGGACCCCCCACCCAGTAATAGTGATCATTATGGATAA